ATATACAATCAGCTAGCTTGCACAAATTTGGATGGCCCCCAATTAATGAACAATTTACACGAGAGGTGTCAATGTCCTTGGCTCAAACGATGCACCTGAGCTCCTGAAGTCATACTATTATTGTAATTACATGTAAATAGAAAAGTGCAACAGTGTATTTCTCTCATCTCCTGGGAGTAGCTGCCTGCAAAAAAATTAAATTCACTGCGCGTGGCTCAACTGACTGATAGAGTCAACGAAACATCGATTATGGGGAGAATGTATTTAATATGAAATGCCTAGTGGCAATGGCTGAAGGTTAGCATTGAAGTGGAACACACCACAACTCGCTATACTGACGCAATTTCGTGAAAAATCCTCATTATATTATATACTTCTGTGGCACAGATAAACAATTGTGATAAAAGTTCGTAGCTGTCAATACTGAAAATTTAATACTCAACTGCAAGTCCACTGCATCACACTAAAGTCGTCTCAATAGTTCTCATGCGGTGTGAGAGATATGAACATCAAAGTTCGTTTTCTTCTTACTACACTAAGTGACCTTATCAACAGATAGCATGAGTGGAGCATCCCTTGAGTTACATGAGGAAACACAAGTAGGAAAGCAAAGGAATATGGAGCAAGCGCTTAGCTTCAGTTGGGGTAAGTTTTGCACGAACATATCTCACCCTGCCATCAGAAGCATCATTGGCATTTACAAGTGAGAGAGCGATGTTACAACAGTGCACATTTCGCACAGGCCAAGCTAAGAGCCAGCCACTGATACGCCCGTCAGCTACGTGGCATTGAGTGCTTCTGAAGACATTTACAGACTACGACGCCATCCTCAACAATAATTGCGCCTGTAGTTAGTAACATTGTTCACGAGCACTACAAGCGTTCTGTCACAGCAGTAATTGAAAAGTGTAGAATAAATACAGAAGAAAAAAAGAAGAGTCACGCGAGCACTGGATTCTAATCCTTGCGTCGATCCATTCAACTGATGTGCATTGAACTTGTAACAATAGCTGCTTCCCATGTCTACTGATGTGAAAACCTTCTTAATTCCATTTCTTCATGGAAGATAAAAAGTTGTGCGACACAATAGCATTTATGGCATCTCGCGGTTTGTCAGACGTAACATCTACCCGTGGTATATTTAAGCACGTTTCTAGTCATACAGTATATCTGTGCTTCAATGTTTGTCGTGGTGATGAATTAGTGATATGCAGCCAATGGCAGGAACGATGCATTAAATGACAACTTTCAGTGGCAGTACTTCAAATTGAAAACAACGAGCCAGAGGTACACTACGGTAGCGTACAAACGAAAACTTCTCATAAAAACGATAAAGTACAGTAGTAGAGACGCACTTTTCTGTCAAACTGTACGTTATTGAATCTTCTGCTGGTCTACAAAATCTACAAAGTTCTAAGTTTCTGACTTATGAATAGACCAGAACACTATTCACACTGACCTAATTATACAGGACATTCTATATTCCTATAGACACATTCTATACAGGCAAGAAAAAATAGTGGTCACAGTTTGGGCAAAGGGTATGCCCTGCCTGTCCCACCGTGGGCACGGCCAACAGCCGACCTGCCCTCTTGAAGGGCATGAGCTCAGAGTAAAATTCATAAATAAAATTTGTTGACTGATTGACTGACTGACTGATGCGTGTAATTACTCCGCTACCTTTACACAGCTTCATAGAACCTTCTAGTCATTTTCTCGAAACCTTTAGAGGCTGCAATTAGAAAAGCTGTAATCTAAGAAACCAGTAAAGCATTGTATGCTAATTAGGTACTGTATACCAACATGAAATTTTGAAAACAATATTCATTTTGATAATGGTACAGAACTGGCATCATAAAAAAAAAAAGGTCGATAAGAAAAAAGCATATTCTAAATGCTTTAACAAATTTTCTTCCGCTGTTTAGCCTAGCATCCATCAAGTGTTGGCAAGCAAACTTGCGGCCTGCACCAATGCTGCGGTTTTATCAGTCACACTCTCACTTAGAAGAGTGGTTCCTGTGAGACAAAAACGAAGCACGCACCGACACCGATTGACAAGGTGCTGAAAATGGATCAGAAACACAGTTATTGCGATATTCAAACTGCACAGACGTTCATGGCATAAAAGAGCGAAAGTTGAGGCTTGAAGAGGCGAACTGTCAAGGTAGAAATACCGACAAAACCAACATTTAGACATACAGTCCTCTCGTCAAAAACTTGTTCCCCCGAGGCATTCCTTATACAACTGGACTAATTGATTCTGTGCTCCGTTTTCCTAAAGCACTTATTATTTACCATCTAGCCCAAACTAAATGTCATGTTGATCTATAAATCACATAAATGCTTTACAATGTGTACAAATCCAGCCTACTTTCTTTCTTAAGAACAGATGCGTCTGATTTCTAACAATATGGACTGTCTGCTCATGGAGTTAGTTGTGTCTACTCTTCCAAATGCTTGACAGTTTCTAGATTAACGTTTAGCGAAATTCCTAGCAGAGCATACAAAAGCAACGAGCATAAATGCAGTTTTTTCAGGTACTTGGTGTGGTATACAAAAAGGTAGATGGGTAACATAGGCAGTATTGTCCTTCTTAAGGCGCCAATTCATACAGAGAAAAATTGTTTTTTTTTTTGCTAGCAGTCAATAACCGCAGGGCGTTACAATAAGTTGCAATCATTACTGTCTTAACGCCGATGACGTTTAGTGGGCACGAATATATTTTACACTAAAAAAAAAATAGTTAAACTGACGTCCTACTGCTTCGGAGTTTGCACCCCTTCATATAGGAAGCACTAAATGCAATGTTGAGCCGAAAGTCATTCTGAAGTGTGCCACCTGCCTTCAATGCATTTATTGTATACATGGACATTACTTACCAGATTACGTGCTTAAAAAACATTGCTGGTTTACAACAAATGAAAAAGTGCCCGAAGCTGCTGAACCTGTACAGCAAATAAACGTTCCACTGTGCATAAATTTAGCCAAGCCATAGTCTTTTTACACAATGACTGCAAACCAGTTGATGCACGCGAACTGCTAAACAGTGTCCCACACTTCTTTCTCCCAATGTCTCCAACTCTCAAAGACTGCGACTAAGGGAAGAGGTTCTCAGTTACCGCCTTCAACGTACGCAATCTCGAGTACTGTAATGTTTTAGAATAAAGGCAAGATCAACGCATTGTTCAAGTATATTAGCAGATGATTCAATATATAAAGCGTTTATTACCTATACTTCTCCAGGGACATAACTACATGCTGTAAAACAGGCCAAAGTTAGCCCTTTCGGGATGAAAAGCAGAGGATCAATTTGCCGTAGTGCCGCGAAATGTTGCACACGCTTCTGCGACTTAGTCTCACCCCAATTGGCACGATAAACCGAACCGGTTAGAAAATCAAATAGACGGACTAATTTCTGGACAAAACTGAATCGCAGCTCTCTTCGCGAAAGCAACAGACCTCATAAAGTTATGTACACATCTGAAAGGAAATGCAAGCGAGGAGAAAAATTTGATGGAGAGCTGACCATCAATGACTGTAGTGAAGACATCCCATCTTAGGACATTTAAAACTAAGATGCAATAAGTTATGCAAAACATTACACCTTTACTTTGTCAAGAATGGCATCGTCTATCGACCTGCAATATTTAGTATGTGCGTGTAACAGACACAAGTCGTCTCAGCCCGTCTGCGTCTATTGTGAGGTCTTTGTTGCCACGGCAACGAAAAACATCGCGAGAGCTACCGCTTTAAACTGGTCGCTTCAGACACACAATGCATCAGAAAAAACTGCTATCTGACATGAAAAGAATACAGTGACAGCAAACTTCGCCGAGAAAAAAAGAGAAAGCAGTACGCAGAAAATGACTGACCAGTGCATAGAATTCGTGGTACCTTACAACAGGGCCTGTACGTCAAATGACTAACAAACACAACTAAACAGGTGCTATGTAAAAAAAGTGACTCTTTGGTCAGCTTAGTACGCTTGTTTTACGTTCACTACAACTATTACATATCGGGAGACAGAAGTCTTAGAGAAAAACATTGAGCAATGGTGAACTGAAAAAAGGGCGCGAGGACTAGTGTACAGACTCATGCAAGAACAAATAACACAACTGAATCTCGGTATGGTAAGACCAGCGTCACACACGCTCAAAACATTAAAATCAGCTATGAAGGCATTCCACATGCACACGTCACTTTCGCTTGCGAGGCGTTGATATGAAAGTCATGCCACTCCTGCAGTACTACTCGTGAGGTAGAGCAGCGCAGTTTCTAGCCAAGATTAACACGCTGTAAATACGGCCGTTGTCGGTCACACGGCGCTGCCTAATGGGAAATTCCTCTTTCTGCGGGCACTTTCGGCAGCATCTTCGAAAAATATGATGTTTGTGACAACAGAACCAGCTGCATTAGAGCTGAGGGAGTTTTTTCTCTGCGCTGCTGCCCTTCCAAACTTGCATGGGGCAACAGTACTTGACAAAGCATGGCCTCAGAGATTGCTGGTGCAGCACGGAGTCCCTACATTGCCCAGGAAAAGCCTTTTCCACACGGAAACCCGCATGAAAATTTTCAATTTTCAACATGGATTTTTGTCATCATCACCTAATCCGTCATACGGCAGATTCTAAACATCAATATTACCCCCCCCCCCCCCCCCAGAAATATCACTTATATGCCTTTATTTAGACTACGCATTAGACTTCATTATCGCTTGCGGAGAATATGTACAAGGTACGTCCTTTAATTTCTCAGCACAAACCATGTGGCCTTCTGCAAACTTCCTTCTATTTGAAAAAGAAAAGAAAAATGAATAAATACAGAAAGAAAGAAGTAAGAGCTGCAAGAAGAAAATCCTAAAGCGCATATTAAAAAAATACATCCACCTCCATGTTTTTTGTGCACGTGTACCATAATTGAACACATTTCCAGGACATCAAAAAGTGGCAGCTTCCATCAACCACTTTTAGCAGAAGGAAGCACACACTCAACACAGAAAACATAAGCAGCCACAGCAGCCTAGCCTCTTTACTATCCAACTTTGTTTTTTTATAGTATTTCTAATCATCCGCATCTTTTTTCGCCCATCCATTCACAGGCACTTCCTTCACTTGATACCACGAACAAGACCGAGGTCGCTTACGGCTCGGACGCGTCGCTACGACAAATGATGTCGCAATGCTTGACAAAAACCTATCTCACCACATAGGCTCATTACGCAGGCTCCGAGCATGGCCAAACGCGAAGGCTAGGTGATGACAGAAAATAACGCTAGAACAACAAGCTTCAGACTCTCGAGGATTACTTAATTCTCGAACATTACATCATTCAACAATGCCACGTTATCAAAGGCCTGCTGAATCATCAATTCGTCATCGTCAATCGCGCAGAAAAACGAAAAATTGCCTCGCGGCATGTTCAGTACTCGTTTCGAAGATCAAATTGCCAGGAAAGCTACATTGTCAAAAACTAAAAGGAGCAGAAATAAACAAGCAGTAATGCAGTTGAAGGGTTCTTACAGCTAATAGAAATAAAAAATCTTGCATCCTATTGTTACTGCCGCTACTGCGTAGCTCGTAAACAGATTATGGCATGCTAGTGCAACATGTAAGCTACATATGATACCAATTATGCACGGAATTGTTTACCAGAGACCGCTTCGTTCTTTGAGTACGTGCAGGCCTGTCCCGTTTCAGGCATTCATAAACATAATTGCTTTATTTTTTTTGTTGCAGTAATTCATACCTGAAGTATACCCCGTGTGTCATAACACATGTAATGTCATTTGTAGTAAAGGACATTCCTTTACTACAAATGCCATTAGCTGCCCGTGCAGCAGCAACAAAAATTACCTTTAACACCTGATCCTGTTCGTTGTGAATGACATTACATGTGCCATGTGACAAAAGTATAAGCTTATTTCAATTGTGTTCTTCCCCTTGACAGCCTTCTTTGTTTTTTTTAAAGCCCTAAGCTACCACCAGTGGTACCTTTCAGACTTCAGCCTGGCATTTCACGAGTCTTCATCCTAAATGCTTTTGCACTGAATGGACAAGCTTCGCATCATGTCACTACACAAAGCTCTCGATGAGTGGGATACCCCACAGGAGGCAAGTTTCAACAGGGTTACCGATTGCGAAAGGGGCAGGAGAGAGTGTTAACAACATCGAAGCAGCGCGCGAGAAGGCAGTAAAGGCTTTGCATTTACTGTGCCCATCTCCCGAGATCCGCGCTTCGCTGTTGGACGACACCGTTTCAGATGCACTTCTGAATGCTTTTTGAGCGGCGGGCTAAATGGCGAAATGTTTCGCCGTCGCGCTGCCGATCGTTTCTTTTACTAGACGACATTCACGAGTTGACGGGCACGATGACGAGGAGGGTTTATCGGCACACCTGCCCTTGCTGCCGATTGCGGGGATGAAGTTACGCTGCCGTGTTGGCCGGGTCGTTATCGCCAAAGTCAGAAAAGAGCAGCTCCAGAGCGGCCTGCACGTCGCCGCCCGTGGCGACCAGTGCCTGCAGACACGTCGCGTCGTTTGCGATCCCCATGTCCCGCAGCTGTTGGAGCTGGTTCTGTGGAAATTCGCGACACGTTAGTCATGCAAAATCCAGTATGACCATTTTCGATGGACTGCACTTGATACACTCAAACCTCATTATAATAAAGTTGAATCTTACACGAAAATAAGTTCTCTATATGCAAAAATTCATTATAAATGTTTATTCCTTAACACTACATTATTGCAGGACTATTACCCATTTACTTCGTTATAACGAATATTTCATTATATCCGGTTTATTGTATCAAAGTATCAGTGTGCATAAAAGTGCCCAGTCTAACTGTGCCATATATAAGCCCCCAACTTCTTTCTTTAAGGGACACTAAAATGATCCAATCAATCTTTTTAGACTGATAAATTATACTCTGAAACTACTGTCTTTTAACTTCATCATCACAGGTTTAATAACATAAGAAAAAATCAATGTCAAAGTTTGATTTTTAAATTTCGAAATGAAATCTCTACACAAGATGACAAAGATTTTGAAGTGTTTTCATTCACTTGGTGACAATGGCTCAATAAAATTTGATGAAACTTCGTGTGTCAAGTCTATGGCCTCTTCAGCGAACAATGAACACGATTTTTACTGCTTAGAAAATATGCCGAACCTAGACGATACCAGCAAATTCTGTGACATCACAGCCATTGGTGCGAGAGCTTCGAGGTGGTATTGCCACTCGTTTTTTTTTCCCCCGTTTTCTCGCTTTTCAAACACTTCCCCTTTGCATGCAGCCTTGAATTCAAAGACATCTTTCTTATGTTGATGGCACCTAGGTAACAACAGTATATAGACATCTTGCACGAATGCAGAAAGTTTATGCATAAATGTGTTGCATTCACCACATAGTTTGCCAAAAACTAGGATGCAATTTCCAGAGTCGTACTGATGACACATTCTCATCCGACGCGAATCCCTCGTTGATGCTTCCTATGAACAAGAATTAAATTGAAGTGCATGTGGATGGTACTTATTTGGCGGCATTACTGTATTTACTCGATTCTACGGCGCCCTCAATTGTAACGCGCACCCGGTTTCCATGACGAAAAAAAAAAGTAAGACATTGATTGCAATGCGCAACCATTTTTCTCATTGGCCCGCAGGATCACACCAATTGAAAAAAAAAACGACTCCTTTCGGGAGCGTCTTCCATATAAATATGAGGTACGGGGAAAGCTTGTGCCCATCTGACGTGTAACAGAGCATTGCCGTCCCTGTAGTTTTACCGTGAACCGATGTCAGCACGCGAACTTGCTTCGCCCCATTTCTTCTCGACGGTTGTGGTGCCAGGCATGATGAAGTAAAGAGGCGTCTGATCGGCATTCCCGATTTGCCCAAGCAGGTAGCCGTTGTTGTGCGGCAAGTTTATTCGCATATGCCCGTTCGCCTCCGGAGGGAAAAGCCTTTCCTCTTCATAAAGTTAGTTAGCCAGCATCTGCCGGCTTTAAACTGGCTCCGCTATAGCCCTTTTTCTAAGGCTGACTGCATAGCCTGCACTTGGAGCACTTCTGTCGTCACGGGCCGCTGTGCCGCTTGCTGCTCAAGCACATACTCGCCGAGCAGCTCTTCAATTTGCGGAAACCGACCCTGCTGTGGTCCACTGAAGCCTTTGCGTGAAGCTTTGCTGTCGACAATCTTTTGCTTTTGTTTCGCCAGTACCGCACGCACGTTTCGGGAACTCCGAACGATCGCGATGCGGCCCGATTTCCGTCCGTTTCTGCACACGCGATGACTTTTCTTTTAAAAGCGGCATCATAGTGCACTCGAGTTTTTGAAGTCGGCCCTTCCATGCCGTCGATGCTAATGCACTACAAGATGATGAACTCCTCAGCACACGTACGAAGTGCCGCACATGGGAAACACATAGGCAGAAATGGCCGACGCGCCATGCCGACGCACGTAGTGGGCGGCCATTTTGGAAATGCCGATGGCAATAGAATGACCGTATTCCTTTTTTTTTTTTCGTACTGGATTCTAATGCGCATTCGATTTATGAACTCGCTTAACCGGAAAGAAGGTGCGCGTTAGATTCGAGTAATTACGGTACTTGACACTGGATCTCAGGTGTCCATAATCGGTGCCATCTCTACAGCCAACTCAAAACAGTACTAACGCCTGCTACAACAAAAGCTGAACATGTCATCAATGATGGAACTGTTGCAGTCACTAGAATGTGTACAGCTCTAATAAACATTGCCTAGCTACTACATTCTGGTCCTATTTACAGTGCCCAAAAGTTTCCCTCACAACCTCACTTAAGCATGGACTTCAGAAAGTCAAAAATAACTACAATAAGAGTAAATTTATGAAACTAGTAATCACTCTTGCAATCTGACCTGAATGCTACACTCGCAGCTCTCATTTAAAAAGCACAATCCATCTATAAGTTTAATTGCGATTCGGATGACTACGCATGCAATATAGTGAGGGCTCCCTACTGTTCAGAGTCAAAATGAGTGTGTCGTTCAATCTGACAAGGCATCGAAGGCGTGGGCAAAGATGACGATAATGCTTTACTACCAGCTGGCAAGAGCAAGCAATGACCGCTAGTCCTATCAGGGGCATTGCTGCAGGCCCTCGCCACCTTGCCTGTATACTCTATGTGCAAACCACATAGGTATAAACAACATAGAGTATAAAAGAGCTCTGTCAAGCGGAACTGTGCTGAAAGTCGACTGCCTCAGACTTTTAAATAAAAGTATACCCTGCTTTCCGCAGTCATTAAAGGTTAATTATTGAACTTCAGTTGATTTGGTGGCTGACAGGCGATATTCGTTGTATCCCTTCATGTCCCCCTGGATACGTATCTAGTCTCAAGAAGTGGTTCTAACAAACCAACCAGTGCTGAGTTTGAAGAAAACCATAAAGCTTAAATTTGAACACCTGGAATGTCAAACAGCTATAACATTTCCTTAAAAAACCCCATGCAGATGCGTAGCGCAGCACTACGCCAGACACACATTGAAACCATTCACCGACTGCCAGAACTCTGTGTGCGGGAAAGAGATTTACGAACCTGATATGTAACGGCAGGATCTGTCACTTCGGCTGGAGCGGCTCCTGCGGGCGATGACGCCTGCGCATACAAGATACAGGCACCACAGATGTCGTATTACAGTTTCTTGAAATCAGGTCAGGCCGATATTTCTGCTTTCTCTAATAAACTCTCATTTTCATAGGTGAAACGCAGAATGTGGAGTAATTTTTATAGCAGGGCAGTGCCACTTTTGGAACAGGAAATTCCATACTTGTATCAGGTTACAAGAAAGAAAGCATCATTATTTTTAGTGACAAATCCAAAATTAGAAGCAGAATGAAACAAAGAAGGTTTCTTTAATAACAGTAAACACAGAGGTGTACAAACCATTCAACATCAGCTAACTCTTGCGCAGTGCACGCGAGTCTGCTACTTCATCAAGAACAGCAGGCTGAACTAACCCATGGTGTAAACAATAACAATGTCCCCACAACCACTGCATCGCCTGTAAGATAATTTCAGCATCTTTTACATTTTTTACGATTACTTTTTTCTCTAATTCTCATGTGCTACTGTAAAGCAGCATTGGAAACAGCAGAAAAAGAGTTTTTGATTATCAGCATAAAGCCACAGCTATTCTTCGCATGTGGTTGGATTTGATAATTATGTCAGAACTGTAGGTGGCCAACATGGCCCCTTTTTCTTGATAAACTAGCGTAAATGAGAATATTTTGAGGCTGCAAATTGGGAATTCTAACACAGTTTGGTGGCCGTAATTTTGACATATTTCACAGTTGTGGCACAGCATGATGCAAAAATAAAGAATTGTATTGAGTCAGTGCAATTGACACAGCTGTTGCCCCTTCTATCGTCCAAATAAATATCGCGGAAGGTGATTTGAAAGCACATGTAAAAGTAGATAGGTATCTATAATCACACAACCAGGCCAATGAATAGTACATATGCATACCTAGACAAATAGATGTGTTCCATATCCTTCCATTCGAACCACTCACTCATGTCAAACAGTCAAATAAAAAAAAAAAACATGGTTGACCTCTCCATGATAAAAATAGGTAAAACACGAAAGTAAAATGTGTTCTTAGAGAAGTAGTTCAAATGTTTACTGTTCAATGACATAACAGAGCTTGCACAATGTCTATTGGTGTTTGACAGCTACAGCACTGCTTAACCTGGATGAATCCATGTGGCCCCTTAGTCATACATCTCCATTCCGACGACTAACGTCCATCACTACTGATTAAAACAAATCCTCGAGGTCATAGATGCTTGTGGTAGCTCTAGTAGTTAAGGGCGAGAGGGCTGAACCAGAGAAAACTGTGTGACAGCCAGAAAAGCGTGACTGGTTGGACGCCAAACTTGGTCCAAGGTCGCCTACTCACAGCATGTTGAAGTCAAACACTACTGTCCAACGAGAGCAGAACGCAACGCATGTCGCGCCTTCCCTTTGGCCAGCCACGATTGTTCGTGGGGATATCGAACGTGGGGAACGCAGGGTTAAAGCCAGACGAAGCCCGCGGGCGTCTCATGACTGTTTGTAATAGGATGGATGCTATGAGCGACTCCGACACCTGTAGTAAGGTCGCCACCTACGGTTTTGTAAAGGCATTGACAATATTGCACTTCTCCTACGAAACGTGCCGAATGGGACGAACGCTTAGCAATGATGCGTTGAAGGAACTAATGGTGAATACCCCGGTCATGATGCATTACTGCGCTTTACCACGAACGCTGTCAGAGGACAGTGGTAGACATAAAAGATGCATCTTTAAAAGCATATATATATATATATATATATATATATATGAACGAGGTGCAGCGGATAGCGCACCCTGCATTTGATGTCACGAACCCAGCGGTAATAGGGTTCGAATCCCATTGACGGAACTCTTTTTTTCTTTGTCTTCTGAATGTGCTCATTTTTTTTTACCTCACTTCTGTGACAGAAATACGTCACTGCAATCTCGGTGGGCACCAACATAAAACACTTTCATGTTAAACAAAATTCATAAGTAATTCCACACTAATAGAATATCTTGAGTTTTAAGTGCCGAAACCACAATCTCATTGTGAGGCACGCCTTGGTGCAAGGCTCCCGAAAATTTCAGTAATCACGCGTTTTTTAATGTGCAGTGACACAGCACAATGCAAGAGACTAGCGTTTTACCTCCATCGAAATGCCACCACCGCAGGCGAAGTCGAACACGTGACCGTCAAGTCAGGAGGTGAGCCCCCCAACGGGCGTCCCACCATGGGAGATGCAACTTTTAATACAGTAGACTCCTATTAAGGGGGGATGCTACACCTTCCAAAAACTCTTTTATTTTTGCGAGTACCTCAGTCAAATTTGGAGAGCCTATGTAGATTTTACTGCTGATTTCAAAAATCTAATTCTTTTTTTGCTGTGACAATTAGTTTTAAAGATATAATGAACTGCGACTTTTTCAATTAAGGCCTAATTAGCTAATTAACTGTAACTTGGATATTGATGTGCGACCTATAGAACCAATTCGGTATGTTCACAGTGTGCAATAAAGTATAAATCATTGTTCTGGGCTATTTCGAAGCAAAGTTGTGGGATGTTGAATATGACATGAAAAATTTCCCCATCTACACTTGAAACAAAAGATCCATTTAGAGAATTTTCTCCAAAAATTATTACAATAAAACTTACTTTACGACACATCCCCTGCATTTATCTTCGAAACAAAAAAGAAATCGTAATGATAACCCAGATAGAACAAGAGATATTGCTCCGGCATAATGGGAAGCACATGAAAATTGTCGTTTTGAGAAATCGAGAAAAAAACGTGGGCACACATTTTTATTGCAGAAGATGCAACAAGACAACCTCAAAACGCACCAGAAGCATAGTCTGAATGCATTCTGTGCTCATGCCTCCTCTTCACTAGCTTCCGGAGTTCCAATGAGGCTGTTCTTTTCTTGTTGGAGACAATGCTGCGACGGTGGTCTTTTTCTCTCGCTCTCCTGGCACCAGTACTTGTCGCATTCATGTCCATTTCACCTAAGATTGCCGTTGCAGAATTCAAATTGCCCGTGTTGAAGTGCAGCACTGCTTCTGCAACAGCTGCTTCAACAGCGAACAGGGATGCATGGTGCTCCTTGGGGGCCAAACTCCAGATTACCGAATGTAGGCTCTCGTTGGAGTTCTGCGTTTTGCCGCGTTCGCACCTCTGAAGCAGGGCTCTTTCCAAAAGACGGGTATAAACCGGTAGTAATGCCTCTGCCACGTCTTTCGGTAGATTGTAGGCATGCCTGGGGTCGGGCTCACCCTTTGCTTTTGCGGCATTGTGCCGACACCATGAAGTTTCACCAGCTGGGCACAGACTGTGGTCCGAGCATTCATCAGTGGAGGTGACGTGGCGGTATGTGGCCATCACAGCCTTTTGCATCTCGCCCACGTCACCTTCATGCGATTTCAGAGCCCGGCCATAATATGTGCTCAGCCTGGTGATCAGCTCACCTGTGAGCCTGCCTTTCCCACCAAGGCCTCTTTTCCCATCGCACTTTTGTTTCTGCACCAGGTTTCTCAATGCGGTGCCCATCCGTTTCTGTACATGATTAATACAGTCTTCCTTCTGCACGTCAATGTAACCATACACCTTGGCGTCTTGTATGGCGCAAAATGTCCTAGAGTCTCCATCAGACAGCATAGTTGTGTAGCGCAGGCCATGGCGTTCAAGCGACCTCTGAAATAGAATTAGAGCCGCCTCCACTTCCATTTGCCCCGCTTTGCTGTTCGTATTTTTTTGGCATTTGTGGTTAGCCTTCCATTCTTGATAGCCCTCACTACTAGGCTTTGGGCCCACCTCGCAGCCTAGGCAAAAGTTGGAAAGAACGACGTAGTCCAACACGTAGCCACTAAATAATTCGATAACTGTGCCCACGCCGATGTGGGAAGAATGGCCTCGCGTCTTCCACATACCGTCGTAGCTAACGGCAATATTGCCCCGGTGGCCGAAGCACAAGTCATCATAAATTGTTCTAACCTTTTCCGCACATTCGCTCATAGCGGACTCAGCCGCTCGCGTTGCAGCGGGTGCCAGCGTGTTCTTCAAATGCCGCTGAAACGTCTTGTGGTGCATACCGCGGTGTGAGATGCCCATTGTTGCGAAAATATCGTTCATTTTCGTTTGGCCGTTGCCGGTAGCCACCATCGCCCTCGAAGCGAGAAGATTTACTTCAAACGGATTGCACGTTTTCGTGCCGTTCGCGCGGGGCGAAGTCCATTCATTCGCGATCTCGCCGCACCTTTCACACTGCACTAGCACTTTCACGGCAAGTCCGTAGCCCCGATCCCCTCTGACGATCGTAGCCGGTCCGTGGCAGGCTTTGCAACACAAGGCACCCATTATCGCGTTTAGGATATCTAGATGCATAAGCAGATAAGGAGCAGCGTGGTCCGAGTCCTGTGCGGTTTCCTCGCTACAACTCGCGGTGAAAAAGTCAATTTTCCGTGCAGTTGCTGGCGCCGATGAAAGCCGGTCGAGCGTCGCTTTCTCCCGGGCATGATTTTCTTCAACTTCGGCGTTTGTCACCACCTTGGCGTCGATTCGTAGTCGTCCGGAGTTCGCTTCACCGTCATCGTCGTCGGAGGCAACGCGCTCGGTCGCACCATCGCTGAACGGCCGCGGAGCGTCGACACATCGTTCGTCGGAGTCAACCAAGGGCTCTGATGACTTCGTAGACTTTATCCCACGACCTTTGCGTTTGCTGCGACCAAATGCGTGCACGGTCCGATACTTTTTTGCGTTTCCAGGCATGGCGATACGATCAGAAGCTTCTGAGTGCTCTGCCGATTTCGAGGCGTCACAGCGGTAACCCTTTCAAAATGGCGTCGGGTCGCGTATGCAGGCGCAAGCCGCGAGCTTCCAGCCAACCGGAAAGCGCCATTTCAGTCACGTGCGCCGTTTAGCCAATGGCAGTGAGCGCGGCTCTTCGTCTTTGAGGCCCCGTTTTTCGAGCCGGGGAAACGCTCAATGTTGCTTACTGAATAAAAAAAAACAGCTAAAAACGCGTTCTTTCAAACAAGACCAAAATGGCGCCGATCGAGCGCGTAGTTCCCGCGTATCGTAGAGCCGAAACCTGCGTTATTCGCCCTCAATTTAAAGAGCAGGACGCCCGTTTTCGGTTTTTTAAAGTTGAATAACGATAAAAGTTGATGGTATTCGGCTATGAAATTTTGTAAATAGGTGCGCCATGATGTCGGGAACGCGAAAAGAAGGTCCGCGAAAACTCGATTTTTTGGCTGATTTTCGGTCCCGAAGTGCCGCGTCCCCCCTTAAACGAAACTCTCTTGAATGAAATTGCTGCTTAAACGGAACAACTGCTGCTAATATGTTTGGCTTGGTACTTGAACAGTATACCCCTATTTATCTCTCGGTAAACGAAACTCCTCTTAAAGGAAACACATTTTCCTGGTCCCTTCAGATTTCGTTTAAAGGGAGTCTACTAAGAGAAATGCTTTACCTTTGCATCCCATGGTAGTCAGCACTAGTCAACATTAGGCAGCTTTAAATCCTGGGTAACCAATTGAGTTTCGACACACGTCATGCTTGCACTGTGTTTAGTATTCTTGGCGGTATTTTATGCCCCGCATCCTCTGGGTGTGCAATAACTAAAGTTACCGATTATCTTAAAGCGCTCAGCAATGGAAGCAACGTTTTGCTTTTTGAAGCAGATTCTGGAGCAGGAAAAAAATGGTGCTTTGGAGCAGCCTTGAGCGTCTTCGGAGCACAAAAATTTCTAGTTTAGACCTGCTACGGTGTTTTCGGAGCAGATGCATGTTCCCAACAACTCCTGAAGTCTAAGCATCATTTAGACATCTCATAAATATTTACATTTATTATTAAACATGCAGCATGCTAGAACACAGCTAGTATACAAGAAGTAGTCGGCAAAAGTTGCAATGTGGGCTTGTTGGTGATGCATTTGAAAGAATTTTTCGTAGCGCGAGGTGAAATACGGAAACAGGAAGGGATAGACTGAGAGGACGGAGTGCCACATCATTGGCGAAGATCATGGGGGCGTCATGGGAGTCCGCACTTCCCTACTGTACAGCCTGGAGAGGACGACCCTCGCAAGTGTCCTCCTTGGGATTTAGCTATAGCTCGTCATATGATTGAGCTACGAGTCAAGAAGAGTGCAATCAACTTTTCGAAGACTCTTTATTAACACAGGTACTGCATACTTGTGTTAAATGCTGCTCAGCTGTGTGAATTATGGAACTCGTAAGAAGGTTGAAAAAGATAATGAACAGAGCAATGCAATTTCTCAAGCTCGGACCCCATTCTTTTTTTAAATATTTCAAAGCATTATTTCATTCTGATATAAATAAAGATACAACCTATAATTAAAATCTAAATGGCCCCCATGACCTGATTTGTGTCACCCCTTGTGACTTTTCTCTTTTTTGACGCCACTGAGTAGCATACTAGGATGATGGTGTGACCAGTTCGCTATTGTTTTCGTTAAGGCTCCCTCAATGGTCACATGGTTCAAGTTCATTCTTTTTAGTTTACCAACGCCACTTCGAAGCACTTACTAGCAAATATTGCACATTGGAGCAGCATAGAGCAGCATTTTTCTTTTGGAGCAGTTTGGAGCAATCGGAGCAGCACTTCCACCACTGATCTCTGGTATTCAGCAAGCACCGTATGTACTCACGTAATGATCGCACTCGCATAATGATCGCACCCCTAAATTTTGTTGTCTAAATACCATCTTTTTTCCCCCGCGTAATGATCGCACCCTGAACTTGTCGCATCGACATGTCATGTGCCAAGTCTAGCTGAACGCGCCTATCATTGTTTCTGTGATCTGAAAGCGGGCATCACTATGCTAGTGCCGTAAATTTACTGATTTAAATGAAAGCATTCCTTATTTAGATGGAAGAAACTGTTTTCACGCGCGTGACGTACTCAAAAGCTCCATAACTGACGCAAAGAAGAAAAAAAAATGCGGTGGCTTCGCTCCACGGAGTGCTTCGCTCCGTCAGCCGCCATGTCTGTTTTGACATCCCGCACTGTTACAGCGGTGGCCGCCTGTTGTTCGACCTGTGTTCATCCCGCAGCACTGTTTTTTCTTTTTTCCTGAGACCACGTTTTTTTTTGTGTGTGCTTTGTGATCGTCTGTTGAAGCACCAGTTTCACCATGGGGCGGTATGCGAGCTTTACAGTCGCGTTCGAGCTGAAGGCGCTTGACTACGCGCTAGAGCACGGCAACTGCGCTGCCGGCAGACATTTCAGCGTCGACGAAATCCGGATTCGATATTGGAAAAAACAGCGGGACATGCTCATGGCTACTAACAGCACGCGATGGGCTTTCCGCGGACCCAAATCTGGCAAGTTCCCTGACATTGAAAAGGCAGTCCTCGAATACGTGAAGGACATGCGCAAGGACGGTTATGCAGTGTCATTGGACATGATACGGATGCAGGCGTGCACAGTTTCCCGGAGGCTGCGAATAGCCACAAAGGACTTCCGCGCCAGTTCCGGCTGGACGACACGCTTCATGCGGTGGAATGAACTGTCCCTGGCATTTCCAACGCGCTCGACGAAACGGAAAATGACCCTCTGTGGGACAGTGAAGATGCTGCCAGTTCCGACAGGGAATCGTGCAGCGACGACACTGACACCATTGATGCTTCGGAGTCTGAATGAACGTTATGGGGTCAGAGAGGTAAAAAATAAAAGGGCAGTGTGCCATGCATGTAGCTCCTGCGTAATGCATGCATTTTATTACAAAGGTAAGCCTTAATTTACTTTTACTTTTGGTTATGTTCATGATAGCTACCGTAACAATTCTGATCAGCGACTAGTTTGCATTTCCGGTGCTCAGAATATTTTTTTCACGAAAAATTTACACCGCGTAATGTTTGTATACCGAAGTTAGAGTCAATTTTTTGAAAAAAAAAAAAAAGTGCGATCATTATGCGAGTATATACGGTAGTGAAGAAGGCTTCACAAAAACTCTTGATTTTTTTTGCAATCTAACACTTACAATCGTAAGCTTAAAAATAGGCTTGTGTGAAGTGAAGTTGAAGCGAATGTTATAACGAATAATATAAGTGAACTTGAAAATCATCACAGTTTGAAAAGTAGTAGGGCGCAAAATATGTAGCAAAATATATTACATTTTAAAACTTGCCATACTAAGCATATATACACCCCTTGAACATGCTTTCAAACTTCTAAATAAAATTTAAAAACTAATCGGGGTGCAAGTAATATGCACAAGCCCCTAAGTATGTTTAGTGAGAGTCACATCTTTTTCTGAATAGGCAGTCTTGTGGCACAGAGGTGTGTACAGTGCAATGGAACCACCTTTTCAGGCAGATTACAGGCAATGAAACATGCCAATTCGTTCATTTACAATGACTGGTAATTCTGAAAATTCTAAATTAACATTGAAGAAAACTTGAATATTGCAGTAACTGCTGAAGTATTTCAAGCACCCAAATACTGGAACAGGCCTACACTAAAAAGGTTACTCAGGCGTCACTTACCGGCGGTGCAGCTGCACTTGCGTTCGGTGGAGGAGCCAGGGACCCCAACGCCGTCTGCACCGCACTGTTGAGCATATCCGAAGTTATCGGGTTCCTCGGCGTCGAAGGTGGTGCATGCAGCCGCGGAGAGGGAGGAATCAGGGGGCTACCGGAGGCTGCCGGTGGCGAGGACGATCCGGAGCCTCCCGGATTGGCTGCGGCTGCGGCCAGTGCAGCAGCCAGCTGTGCCGGCGTGATGCGGTTGGGCGAGAACAAGCCGCTCCCGGCTCCTGCTGGCTGCGGGGAAGAGAGAGTGCATCGGAAGCACAAGTGCTGATCAAGATGTCAAAGAGTCGGTCGGAAACACGTCTGGTTAGGGAAGATATGCGATAAGAATTAAATATGCATGCCAACAGTAAAGAAAGTCTATCAAAAATATCAAACATTTAGAGCTCCAACATCTTGTTAACAATGAGGTTGAAGTCAGAAAAGGCCTGTTATATTAGCATTAATATGTGACATTGTTGATGCGTATACAATTGTAGGAAGTTGCCTAAGCTGACTCAAAGGTGAAAGCCATCTCTTGTTTGCTTCCCAGTTGATTGTATTGATTCCCCGCTGAAAGCTTTTGGCATCCACGTAGTTTATGAATGCCACTGCCATCAGAGTCATCAGCACCTCATGTGGTGTTGGAATGCTTGCTTGATTGGCCTACCGTTCACAAAGTTATTTGATGACATTATCGTGCGATCTCATGTTACATAGCATCATAGAGATGTCATGATGACGTCACAGATATTGCCGACTTCATCCCATAATGATGACTTTTGGCAACATTCGTAAGGACATCGACGATAACTTGTTGATTGTGATAGGGTATCTCAGGTTCTCACCTAAATACAGTCAAGCCTCATGAATTCTTACCCTCTTTAAACGTACTAATGGTTAAAACGTAGTTGCGACGAATTCCCCGACTAAGTCCCATAGAGATAAGTGCATTCCGTGACTGCTTAAGCCATATGGGTTCATCCTATGCCTACCGCTGAGTGCATACCAGCTACAAAAACTGTGATCACTTTTTCTTAAGGTTGTGCGAATACTTGAACGAATAATACAGTATTCAAAGTTGCTTCGAACCAAACTTAACTTATTGAAAATTTCGAACTAGTATTCGAAACCACAAATAGGTGCATATTAATCCACAAGTGACATCCTGTAAAGGTCGTTTCAATTCAGTGGAGTGATGCTAAGCTGTGAAAGTACCTATTTAAGCATACAATAATTGGAATGTAAAGTTTGAAAGCTTGTTATATTGACTTATATGCTCCAAGTTTAGCAAATTTTAAAAAAGTAACACACTTTACAGGCTATCACTTGCATTCTACCGGAAGTCAAATTCTGCTACTATTCAAAGCTTTTTTCTGCTTTCATTGATGCAAAAAAAAACGGCATGAGCAGCAGCCCTTGTTTCAAATTTTTGAAAAATATTGTGCAGGGTAGGTAGGTCATGAAAAATATGCCCACTTTGACTTGATAACATGCGATATACATACTATCGAAATTATTTCACCAAAATCACTATTCGCCTTCAATTTGCTTTAAACATAAAATTCACTATTCGCACAAGCCTACTTTATTTGCCATAAAAGTTTACTGCGTTGCTAAACTTCCAACGCTGCAACATGCTACAATTGGTTTTTCGTTGCTTCGAAAGGTGTGGAGACCGACGTCTTTAGCAGGTAATCATCAGGCAAGAACGAAGGCGGGGTGGCAACCACATACAAACTATGCCGGTATGATGCCTTATCGCCAACAAAAAGCCTTATCACACTAAGTATCCTCAGCTATCCCTTGGGGGACGCATGTAGCAAAGCTGAACTTTAGCCTACTGAACCCTTTTGAATAGGAGACTACCTGAACACGTTGAACTGCCTATTGCTGCAGCCTCATTGTGCAGGACCGTAATCATTTTGCACGCACTGCGTTTGCAGAAGCAAAAGTGGCTTGCTATTCTGAATCGAGCGTTACGAGTCGCGGGCACCGAGAAACTCCGCGATATTGACGGTATCGCGTTAAGCGCACACGTGCAACACAATAAGCGTAGCGCTGTTGTAACCATATTGCACGCTCTTCTTATGCCACAGCCCAAACGCGCCTTCGCCCATCGTCAGGACTGTTATAGCATCACGGAATGCGCATCGCTTGTGGGAGTCTTGTCATCGCCGCGTTAACGCAACAGGCTACTGGCCACATACGTGCATTCTGAAGTGGACGTATGTACAGCAAGCGACTTGCCAGTCACAGCGATCGTCGAGTAAGCGAATCACTGCACGCAACTAGCCGGTAAACGATCCGCTGCTTACAACTGTACTGTGGTATAAAAAGAAAACAAAATGCCAAGTTCCACTAAGTATGCAGATCGCAGTACGCATGTATTGCAGACTGCCGAATATGTCCCTACTGCTGCTATGTCAGTCCCTGCGTATCCCGGGCACGCAACCCGGGTGCTGCTGTACAGTTTCGAAATGCCCCTTGGCATCGTCACCGCGTGCTATCGGACTGTCGTGCAAGAGTGCCAAAATCTTTTCTGCATTTTGGTAAAAAGAAAGAAAGAGCTTTGTGGTGGGCACCTATAGGCAGTACCATATTTACTTGCATCATTTGCGCACTTTTTTCGCGATTTTGGGGCACCGAAAAGGGGGTGCACAAATTACGCGAATTTTCGCAAGCCTATACGAAATAGTGTGCAAAAGTCCTAACTCGCTGCTGGGAGTATACAATGCTGGGAGTATACACATTAAAAAAATAGAAATAGATTGGAGCACAAACGAAGTATACATGTTAATTTTGAAAGAATTCGCTCGTAGTTTAATCAGTCAGATCCGGTCACACGCGGTCTAGCGGGAATCACTCATTGCGAAGTCCGATTGGGAATCAACGTCGCGGTTGCATCCACCGCCCTCCCGAAGCGCATCATTCTCGGTTCCGTCGAGCGCATTCAAAGCCCCACTTTGTTGAAGCTCCTTCGACAATGCTGGGAGAAACTAAGTACCATGACATGGCGATACTGGAAGAACTAAGCATCCACACATAATTGAAAAGGCCTCCTTCAATGGCAGGAAACTTGCATTAGCAAGCGCGCATTCTCCTGCTTTCTTGCGTACCTACTGCGCCGGTCGTCACGTTAAAATACGTCCCCTTGAAGTGCTTTGCGGCGGCATGCTTCCCGTTTTATTCAGCGAAAGTCACAACAGGGAGCTTCAATTTCGCCGTATATATAATTACTGCAGCGCATCACAAGGGAACCGTCAAAAAGCATCAGCCGGATGGCGAAACCTCCACTTCCAAAATCGACCAAGCGTGCCTTGCAGCGCGAATGCAGAGGATGAGGGAAACAGTTGGTGGAACAGGTCCTCAGCAGAAAGCCGGCCGCTAAATACCTCTGTCATCGCGGTGGTAGAGATTGGGCGGTACGGGGAAGCAAATGCTGAAGCAGTTCCAGACACCTGCCAACAGGTTTGTGTTCAGCTGTGGTATTCTAGGGACCCCAGTTGGGGGGGGGGAAGTCCTTGGAAGAAGGGATTTCGCACTCGCAGCCTGTTGAATTGCTCTGACCCAGCCGAAGCATCTAAAGGTCCAAAGGTGCACTCCCGGCAAGCTGGCTCGAGTGGGGTTGAGGAGCGCGAAATATGGAGTAAATATTTTTTCCCGTATAAACCTGGCAGACTATTAGGGGTGTGAAAATTATGTGAGGGCACAAATTATGCGCGTAAATACGGTATTTGCTTTGCCACTGTAGTTATATTCCATTGTTGGCAGAGATGGCGCAAATGAGGAGATGAAATTTGTACTTGCTGGTTCAAGTGTACTATGGTTAATGCATAATTATTATGTGTTACCCGGCAGGTACGTATTGACGGGCTTTCACTATACCAAAACAGTGCCATCAATGTTTACCATACCTGTTCGAGCTGTCCCTCGAGCTCTTCGTCGTCGCTCAAAGCCTCTAGAGAGTAGGACACTTCGGGCGGCGGCGACGTGGAACGCCCAGAAGCGGCGCCTTCTTCGTGAAATGACACAGCGATCTGCACTGCCGCTTCCACCAAAGCGGGGTGACTTTCGGCCATTCTGCGTACAGTATCTCAGTTCAATGTGTTACACTAAACTTAAGGTACTGGGCACAAAAAATGACAGGAAATCGGTTGAATAATAATAATACTCATTGGGGCTTGACGTCCCAAAACTATGATATGATTACAAGAGATACCATAGTAGAGGGCTTCGAAAGTTTGGACCATCTGGGTTTCTTTAACATGCACCTATATCTAAGCACGCCTGCCTCTACCATTGTGTCCTCCATCGATAATGTGGCCACCTAAGACATAATGATTGATTTGTAGGGTTTAACGTTCCAAAACCATCATATGATTATGAGAGACGCCGTAGTGGAGGGCTCCGGAAATTTTGACCACCTGGGGTTCTTAATGTGCACCCAAATCTGAATACACGGGCCTACAACATTTCTGCCTCCATCGGAAATGCAGCCGCCACAGCCGGGATTTGATCCCGCGACCTGCAGGTCAGCAGCCGAGTGTATACGTTAGCCACTGGACCACCGTGGCGGGGCTGCCAGCCACCTAAGACAGGATTCCATATTGAGACCTTTGGGTCAGCTGTCAAGAAAACAAACTGAAAGTGATTACTTAAGCTCGATGCTGGAGCTATGATATTTTGGCCTCCCTTTAGCATAAATCTGATGGATCGTCCTTTACATTCTACAAATGTAAATTCAATCTAAACGGCATGAGTATCATTTAAATATTCATGCCGTATTAAACATATCAGCTTACAAGTTCATGCAATAATACTTCAGCAACAAAGATGTGAGTGTAAACATCATTATTTTGTTTTGTTAAAGGTTCATTTTACATGGCGATTTTCGTGTGAGAGTTACTGCCGTCGACTCAGTGCCAACAACACACAGAAGTGGCCTATGCCTGGTAAGGTACGAGAAGTGAAGATTGAGAAGCAAGGGCAAATGCACGGCTATTCGACAAAAATTGGTCAGCGTGTGCGACGAAACGATTTTACATCGAGCAACATACTTTCGGAGGAAGTTTGGGTTTGCCAGCAGTGTCATGAGCTCCGGATCTTGAAGGATGCCTAGGGTTGAAAAAGAAAAGGAAAAGCTTGATCAAGTGATTGGCAGGTATCAACATGGACGATGAGATGAGAGATCACAATGTCACATTAATATAGAGGCAGCGCCATGCAGCAGAAACAAGTAGTTTGATCGGACCACTTCAAAACTTAAGAACAAGCTGAAACATGGATGCCTTTTGTGGATGCCTTTGTGGATGCCTTTTTTTTTGCATCAGTATGCATTTAAATTTCTATTGACACGTTTCCCAAACAGCACGTGTTTCAGATTTTTTTTTTAAAGGCCATGCAACCTTTTTCCAAGTACTACGTATTCGTCAAAATACTACCACACCATAACTTAGTGCCTCACGAATTTATTTTCGTAATTTTTAAAAAATTGATGAAGTACAAGCGGAACTACAGGGACTTGTAGCACGCTTATAGCAATGATCGGTTATAACAATGAACTTTTCGTGGCACTTGAGTATTGTTATAAGTGGTTCTACTGTATTGTCGATCTCATCTTGCGCAATAGAAGGCAGGGCACATAAAATTATCTATTGCAGATGACCATGATACAATGAAAAAATATATGAACATGATAGGCCAATAGTAGTACAAAGTTGCCAAGAGCAATAGGAAATTTTAAGGTTAAGCGCTTCTTGTAGACAAGCAGAGAAGAATGATAATAATGTATTTGATTAACCAGAATTATGAAAAGAAAAGGCAGCAGATAAGCGAGAGACCTACACACAAACCGCCCCAAGGTACTCCTTCGAATTTGTTGATCTTTCAGGTGCTCGTCAACCTAAAGTAGAAGATCTGTCGCGTGAGGACTCGTTAGTAATATAATGCCATTCGAAAGCACTGGCATTGCACTCTTTTGCTTTTTGTAGAAAATGCAAAAATTTCTTACCGACGGCAACTGGATCATCAGCCAAGGCAGGATTCGCTGCCATCACATTTTCAAGCACTTCCGGGTCCTTGAGGCTTTGTAGCTAGGACAAAAAAGTAGATATATGCCTCGCATGTGCAACACTGAATCAAGCATGGCGAATTACGAAATATGTCAGATGTAACAATAGATTGGCAGTAAGCAACGTGTTACATGTGAACCTAGTATAAACAAAGTTTTCTGACAAGAAAATATTTTAAATATAGCCAATACTGATACAGATTTTACCTGTAACCTGCTGACATTGAAAAAAAAAGACACATTAGATTTACTTCATTTATATTGGTATAATTGACTCTTTATTACCTTAACTAAATCATTCACTCACAAACTTCTTTTTGACTCTGCTTTTCATCTCTGTTGTGAGCGGTCCCTGCTAACAATGTTCAGAAAACTATTTATTCTGCAAAAAATTATGACTACAAGGCACTTGTGCTGCTTTTGCAAGAACAATTAAGCTAAAAGCACGAAGATCAGAAAAATCTACAAACTACCTATTATATGAGATACACACATCATGACGACGCCAAACAGACATACCAGCTAGCACTGCGGTACCAGTCGAAAATTTTTTTAATAGAACTTTGATGTGGTTTTTATTGCAGTGTTTTGATTTGGGAGAAAAAAAAAAGGTTGCTTAGACCCACCACACTTATGTAAAAAAAGAACTTCCAGGAACCGTGAAAGCCAGGGCTCCAATAACTAACCATCGTTCGAAAGGCCGGATTCACTAGGGCGGTGCCGAATGCGATCATGGGGACGTCCTGCATGTCCAGCGTGCAGGTTGGCTTCTCTGCGATAATAAAAGAGAGACAGGAGAATAATTGTTGGCGCACAAGAACCCGGCGTCCGAAAGAAATTGTTTGCTTTAGTTTCATTCTACTGAGAAAGGTGCCGTTCCGTTTCTGTTACGAAAAAAAAAATTTTTTTTTTCATTACGATTCTTGACGGTTTTAAATTCTATGCAAAAATCTCAAAGCAATGCAGCGATACAAACATGGTATTAAATTTTTTCATAAGTCAATTACCACTTGTCGGAGCCCGCCCAACGCTTCGCATCAAGGGAGTGAGCATAATATTAGAAGCAGCACTCGTCTAGCCTCCGATACGTGGATACCTTTATGTGCAAACAATGCCACGTACATTTTTCACCAACTTGGGAACCTGGTCCCGTGACCAAATATCTTGACTTCCCAGATAAAAAGAAACCCTCCCTCCCCTTTATTTATTTTGTTTTTTTTTTTTCAGAATACTTCGCACCTATACACCACATCATAAAATCGGGTGCGATGATATGAAAGATAGCAAGACTTCTTGCAGCAAATGCACTCACACGAAGAAATACTTCAATTATTTGAACACCGGCAACGTAATTTCAAAAATTTTTTTTTGACTGCACAGTAAGTGAAGATTGTTCAAGCCTCAGAAATGAACAAACACCATTATTTACATCGTTGTTAATACGTCATCCCGGATCACCTAGAGTCTCTTTCCTTTTTTCATATCGTGTACTAATTGATTCCAAAAGCACACAACCAGAGCGAACAGGGGAAGCCGCACTTACGACGAAATCGAAGCTGGGGATGCACGGAATTGGACGTTTTGCGGACTAAACTTCTTGTATAGCCTCCCCTAGTGTTGCACCTGATGCACAAAACGCAGCTTGGTGTCACCGGGATTGTCACTAAGCTTTCGATGTCACTTGCCATGTCCATCTGAATCTCTTTAAGCCGCATTGCGGCCAGCATATCTTGTGTGATGCTACGTCATGCACACCCAGCGCTGCCCTACTGTGCGCTGGGTCGCTCCCGGAGGGGACTTTTATGCTGTGGCGCCCTAGCTGACGAGTAAACAAACAAACTGCTTCGCACACACCACATCAGCACCACACATCAGCATCAGTGCACAACACAGCGAGATCACCAACGTGCCATACATACAGCAAGGCACAGTTGTTGTTCAAGCAGTCCTTTGCTTACGAGTAAACAAACAAACTGCTTCGCACACACCACATCAGCATCACACATCAGCATCAGTGCACAACACAGCGAGATCACCAACGTGCCATACATACAGCAAGGCACAGTTGTTGTTCAAGCAGTCCTTTGCTTACGAGCAAACAAACAAACTGCTTCGCACACACCACATCAGCATCACACATCAGCATCAGTGCACAAAACAGCGAGATCACCAACGCGCCATACATACAGCAAGGCACAGTTGTTGTTCAAGCAGTCCTTTGATTTAGTTTTTTTTGCAGCCCCGGAAAATAAAAAGAAGCCAGTTACTCACCTAGCTCATGGTGAGGGTAGGCAAACACTGTCATGCCAAACTTGATCCCACTGGCTTCAAGGGTGTCATCCTGCTTGAGTATTTTGCCGAGAAACACTAGTTCTGCAAGCAATTATAGAGAACGAGCAAGCAATCAAAAGGTTGCGGCAAGCCATCTCTCTACTGCAGGCAGAAAATAGACGACAAAAAGAGGTTCCGCCGTTCAGCCCTCGATGCCCGAAAGGGAAATTACTCTCTTGCATAAACTACACTCTAAAAAGTGAGCGAGTAAAAAGGGTTTCTTTTTGTCCAACAACAATAATCGTCATCTATATTGCGTTCCATCCTTGCGCTATTGCCCCGCTCCCGGTACAATCCGGTCACGATCGACATGCCCATTATCAGGGTTACATTGCATTCCTAAGTGGCCAGCGCCAAGTTTTCAAGAAAGGAAGCGCACGCGAGCCTGATGACGATTATTGTTGTGGGACAAAAAGACACTCTTTTCACTCGATATTTTTTTAGAGTGTATATTAAAATTGCTCAAGACCCCCTACCCCCCCCTTTTTTTAAAATTTGGATGACGATTTGTCCTTAAAAAGCACAGACAGGAAAGTTTTCATGTTTCTTTTTTTTTTTGTCAAATGAAAGGCCAAGCCTTGAAGAGCCCAGAGAATGTGCCGCTAAGCATGAGGACACCCCAGACAAGTGAATACAGTGTTTTCAAAAGCAAGTTTGAATTCCTGCTGTACCCCAACGTGACGACATGGTAGAGGTTACTTGTCGCATGCTAATGCAAGATATCAGGACGTTTCCACAACTCACAGTTCCTGGTTCCATTGGTGACACAAAAGGGGCCATTTTGAAAGCTTTAGTACTTAACGTGATCAAAACTAGCCAGATTGCTGCGTGAAGTACCCAAAGTCAGTACTATAGTGAACTAGAATATGATCTAGTGGCGCGACCAGCAGGCCGCGGCTACTGCCTCGGCGGTCCAAAACGACACGGACGGCCGCTAGGATTTCTCACGGCGCTACTGCGTCTTTTCATGTCATGTGCACGAGGCGAGCGCGCGTCGGCGGTGTCTTTTTTGGACAGCGCAGGAGTCGATGAGTGCGTGTGCACGAGTATGTGTGTGAGTTTGGCAGGTTGAGCCACCGCCACGTGAAGAAACTTTGTCAAGGCCCGGGAGTTCTACCGCATATGTCAACGGTCTCACGACGCTGGTTATGTTGTGCGCTGTGGTGGCACACAACGCAACCGACCCAGGCATTCCGTGGCCCGTTCACATCAGTCTTACAGTATCTGCAGCATTACTGTGCTTCAACGAGAAACAACAAATGTTGCATCGTTCTCTGTGTGCCGTCGGGCTCTTCGGAGTTGTGATGTGTGCTGCTTGTGGTTAAGCTCGTGTTTCTTGGTGAGTGACCGAATTGCGAGCAGCTGTGGTTCCAAGAAGGTGTTGTGTCCACATTTCTGTGGAAACCGTGAATCTGGGCCGCGAGTGTATGTGTTTGAATTTCCGACTGACCAAGGCGCGGGGAAATCATGAATATGGGTAGATACCGCCTATTCTAAGGGATAGTGTCAGCCCAACAAAACACGAAGAAGTAAACATGCTGCTTTTCTTTGGTTTCATGTATTGTGTTACACCTACTACCGTGTTATTCAGTGTCACATTTATCCCATGCGCGAGTTTCGAAGTACGCGTTATGGCCAATACCTTAAAGAGGAAGCATAATGCTGTCGCTTTCTTGTCATTGGTGAATGTTCGAAATAATATTTAGCTTGAGTGATATAGATGAGAGGGCCAGCGACGGCCAGAGGAAGGTCGTATAGTGTACACGAGACTCGCTTTTTTATTCCCAAAGTCCGTGTGCGCGCTTCCCAACCAGTGTTCTCGCGGGGCGCATACCGCACTCTTGTGGGCCGCGTAAGCGAGCGAAGTTGATGAACAGCTCTTGCAGGCCGGATTATTGCATTTTCAGTTCTAACAAGCCATTCTACTGCACGTGTGCCATTGCACTTTGCTGCACAAGGACCGTGGGGCGTCAATATCTCGTGAGATAGCCTGCACCAACAAACATGTAGCTTGTGACATGTCGAAGCAGAGAAAAGACTGTCACTGCTTCGCCCTGGTTTGCCGAAGCAGTAACCAGGGCGCTCTGAAGGCGTCTTTTGGATCTCCCATGCTAATGCTCTGTTCAGGTTGTCCACGAACTAATTTTGTAATATTATGTCTGCTTGTACCAAGGAGCAAACGCGCGTTTCACGTAATCACAGCTGCAGCTTTGTAGGAGCCCGCGACGGCCCGACAACGCAGCCGAAGCTGGCATGAAAAGTAGCAGTGGTGCTACCTGGTGGCATCCGCGTGAAAGCTGACGCCGGAGCCCAGCCTGTCGCGCCACTAGATCATATTCTAGTTCACTATAGTCAGTACTGTAGCCGAACATCAAGCTAGCGTCAATGTCCGTAGGTGCTCCACGGAGAAAGTTGACTTTATCATCAAAAACAAAACATTTCATTACTGTTTCGTGAGCTCCACACTTGCTCAGGGCCATCTCTGTATGCAAGAGAGTTGTATGGCAGAGTAAACTCGTTTCCGAAAAGTGGTGTCAGTACTTCCTTTAAAGCCTGGTACTCCCAACTAAAAAATCACAAATGCACGGACACAAACTTCTTTTACACCCAAAGATTAGCCCGTTTCTGTTAGGTTAATGACACAGAAACATAACAGGCAAATGATGCTCAATGTTACCGCTATCTCCCGCACCCTTTTTCATTCATGCGCAAGCCTCTCCTTCGCGCTCCTGTCTTGGTAGGCGTCAAACATCACCATTGTTTTCAGCATCTTCACCGTGTTGGCGTGTCACAGCATGTAAGAACAGCCGCTGTCATTCTGGCATTGACTGTGCACGGTATAGTTCATAAACATACACAGCGTACCAAGTGAAAGCTGCGAGCAGTGAGATTAGCATGTGCGAACATTGAATGGGATACATGCCCTTAGATGAAAGTAAACACACTCGTATCAATCGGATTTGCTCCTGCAGTATTCAGCTAGCCACCGTACGAAAGTGTCTGGTTCAAATTATATTCCACATGAGCATTGGCTCTACTATTCGTGTGTGTGTTTGTGGTTTGTGCGTGCTTGTATCGAAATCATTACAAATTCACTGTCATTCATCAGAGAGCAATATGATGAATGATAAAGCAATCTACCCGGACACTAATGAATCGTCATTAAGTGGCATTGGTAATGGAGATAACATATTAAAAAGTACGCTATGTGTGTATATCGCCGAACATGTGGGTGCCCGCACCATCGACAGAACATGTCACGCAAGGGAACCACTCAAATTTGCCGTACGTCGGTGATTTCTCGAACATCCCAAACCCGAAACTGCCTAAACGCCAGTTGCAACGCACTCAAGGACCTCCGCATCTCGCCTAGATACAGCGAACTACAGCGGAACAAGGAACCATACCGCAACCGATTCCAAAACCTCGCTTATTCGCGGCTGGGCTTATTATAGGCCGAGTTTCGCATTTTCTCCGACGCAGCTATCGATGACAAGATCAATCAATACACCGAGCGCGGTACGAAGCACAGACCTCGTGAAAAGGCAGCTCCGTCATCACACGACATTAGGAGTCGCGAATTCGGCTAACTCATTGCAAGCGAGAGTTTTTTTCAAGTTCAAGGTGACAGGAAGAACAAACAGACGGCCGGGGCACCTCCGCATTGCCCGCATTCTAGAGTGGCGTCACGACGTGCGAGAGCTCGCAAAATATCGCAACCGCTCGCGCGCCAAGCCGGCTCCACGCAATTTATAGGCGGACCATTACGACAACAGCGTAGGCGCGAAATATACAAAAGGAGAAACAATAAGGAGAACAAATTGAGCGTTGGGGAGAAGAGGAGGGGGAGAGGACAAGATGATCGAATTGCGTTGCCGAGGCGAGCAGCGGCGGCCGCTTTGAAGGATCGCGACTCTTACCGAGATCTCCGATGTCCTTGCCGAACAACTCGGCCACCTTGGTGTGCAGCGCCGACACCTTATCTTCGAGCTTGAGACAAGATAGCTTGTGTCGCTCGAACTTGCACGTATTCTCGGGCACTAACGAGACGTAGATGCAGCACTCGTCCGAAGCCATGTTCCTCTTTTTTTTTCTTTCTTTCTTTCTTACTGATACCCGCCGATCACACGCTGATCAAACGAAACGGTCCCTGGACCTAACAGCGCCGATGGATGAGACGATCAAGGCGAAGGTTGACAAGGCGTCACGAATGACATGTCCCGTAGGAGAACGTGCGGCGAAATCACGCCCGAATGAATCGTGGAAACGAATCACAGTCCCGAACCACGCAAGCGGGGACCAAAACACAACACACGCTCGCAGCGGCACTAGCGACGCCTCCGTGATTTTTCGTCTCTTTCTTTCCCGTCCACTTGAACCACATCTTTTCGAGTGGTTACCCTTAGATGTGAACCCTAAAGGCAGCAGTAAATTGCTTTCACTTTTATTCGCTGAGTATGGCGCTTCATACATCTGCAGTTTTGTTTTATTTTTTTCACATTCAATTGACACATAGCGCCAATGTAGCGGGAAAATTCAAACCATGTTATCGCGATGGCCACTTCCTTCTCAGTGGCGCCCTTCGATATGAACCCTAAAGGCGGCAGTAAATTGCGTTCACATTTATGAGTAAGGCGCTTCATACATCTGCAGTTTTGTTTTATTTCTTCACACTCAATTGACACATAGCGCCAATGTGGCGGAAAAATTCAAACCACGTTATCGCGATTGATGCCCGACATGATCAGAGTTTTGCGGAACGCAATTAAGCGAGCGGCGTTTAAGCGCAGAATTTAATCTAGAGCACTCATTCATACAAATCTATGTTTATCATAACTTAGAAGTACTTGTTGCTGGACTGGTTGGTTCGTCATACTGAGGGAAACTTCTAGACGCCTAAAACACCACGAGAAGAAAGACACAAAGAGAAATAGCGTGAGTTGCGAGTTGGCGCTCTTTCTCTGTATGTCTTTCTTCTTGTGGTGTTTTAGGCGTCTATAAGCGTCCCTCACTACGTTTATCTGCCCCCTAACAAGTGGAATAATGTCGTTAAGCATCCTTGGCTACAAGTATGCACCAGAAGCATGATGTGAGGGAATTCGAGCGCGGAAAACACGAGGATAAGACACATACAGTAGACTTTACGTACTTTAGGGACTATGAGAAAATAAAGGCCCTCTACCTTCGGAACGTAGTGGGGCTTTGCAAGTACAAATCGGCCTAGCTAAAGGAAGGGGCGGTTGTCACACCTCCCCCTTCCTGCGCCATTTTTTTGTTTTTCTTTCTCGTGTATATCCTTCTCATCATTCTCAGCCTACCTTTCTTCATACCATATCTCTCTTCTCTCTCAGCCTGGTCTAGTCCGCTGCTGGTCGAATACTTGAGTCAATCATATCCAGTTTACCCTACCTGTGCGAGCCGATTCTGTTTAACTTCTTGATTGCACCACTACATTGACTCCATCTAACCCTCGGTATTCCTCAAGTGCCGCTTTCACAACCATGGGTGACAATTCTGGATCTTACTGTCAACCAGTTGTTCGTTCTACGCGTCACGTGGCCATCCCAGGTCCATTTATTTCGCTTGATGTCAGCTGGACATCACACTTTGTTTGGACGCGGCAGGTGTCTCGCCACGTGCGTCGCGGCTGAGCGGGTAGCGCGTGTACAGGCCCTTACAGCCGATGCGAAGGCGAGTGCCCAAAACATTGGCTCATCCAAATCAAAGCGTTTTTTTTTTTCACGAATTAGTAATGTACGATTTCGCTGTATCGAAAACACCACTGTAACCACAGCAAGAGTTGTTAAGCGGGAAAACGCACGAAAATAAAATGTTGGTGGAGACGCCGCAGTGAGGTTCCCGTACCAAAAACCGTGACGTAGAAAATTTTGAAAGTGTTTACTGGGTCCTACATAGCTTTTACTCGATAAAAATGAAGTACATTGTAATCTGGTGGCGCCATGAACCTAGCATACGAAGTTTCGAAAAATTTCAGAGAGCTAATGCCACGAAAATAGAAAAACAAATTTTGAAATTCGTTACGTGACGGGTGGAGATATTTGGGCCAAATTAGAAAAAAATAGATAGACCTTAAACCTTCATTTTCTCCGCTAATAATGAACTCTTAACCGTGAAACTTACGAGATTAGAGTTCTTAGAGCACAAGTTATCAATCTAACGAAAGTCACTGTTCCTCTTTAGTGTCCCTTTAAGAAGGGCAAGAGTTTTTCTGCCTTTGGGCGAAGGCCTTTGGGCGACTTCAGTGACAAAGCAGATGACGAGGTTTTCCACCTGCGGGTGAAGGCTTGTATTACAAGCAGGAGAAGAGTGTGTGTTTAATGCCAATGGGTGAAGACGCGTTCTGCAGTCGCAGCGCGTGAGTGGCCGACGTGTTACCGGCGAAGAAGTTTTGTGATCAGAGTGCGCACATTTCACGAGGCGAGGTTTCCTGGAAGAGAAACATCGAGAGCAACGGAACGACAATCAGCGCCGGACTTTGAGTGAGTGGTTCCTTGAAAGGAATCATTCGAACTTTGTTCAACGAACTTTGTTCCAAGAACTTTCCCGTGAATAAGTTTGAGGAACTTTCTGGTCTTTAAGTGTGTTGGTTGGTTAATGCATGAGATTGCATTGTAGCGCGTATCGTTCTTTGTGTCCGATGTTTGAGAGTATCTGGTTGTGTTGTGTAGCCAGTTGATTTGACTACCTTGCGATTGGTGTCATATTGTATTTTACTATTGCCTAGTGTGCATACTTGAGTGTTGTCCGTTCTGCCATATTTAAGAATATATTTTTGTTTTGTTATCGACTCTCGGCTCTGACTCGTTCTAAGGACCGCAGCTGGCGTTCGCTAGCACACCAAGTAAGACCACATCTAAATTCGCCGTGCTTTCATGGTGCAGTTCGGGGGAATGATACTTCTGCCCTTGGAATTAGCCTCGCGATCGCCTCCATAATTAACGGGACCAGTGAGGTGGTGGTGAAAACATTTAATAACCATTAAATGGTTACAGAGATGTGATTGGGTTGGGGCCTTATTGGCCTCCTACCCTCACAGCACTAGGTGGAACCCCTATTCCGGGGCTCCATTGGCAAGCAACGCCGCCCGCGCCCGTTGAACCAGAGCCTCTTGGGCCTTCAGGTCTTGACAGCCGAGCAGGGCCGCCTCCCAGTCCTCTCTCGTGGGATTGGGGTTGGGGGGGATAGATGGATTAGACTGGCACGCCCAGACGATGTGAAAGGTGTCAGCCACCTCACCACAGAACTGGCACGTGCCATCAAAGGATGAATTGAAATGTTTTAGCACCGCCGGGCACAGTACAGTATTGGTAAACAGTTTTAGAAGGAGGCGCTCGTCAGCGCGATGCAGTCCCTTACAAGGGTCTGGATAGCGCCTGTGCTCCTCCTTGTAGTAATTGGTAATATCTTTGAATGAAAGGGCCGAATTGTCTGATTGCGAGTAGGCTTCCAAAGACAGGGAGATAGCCCGGGAAGAGAGTGCGCGGGTGGCCTGATCGGCCTGTTCGTTACCCCTGAGTCCTTGGTGACCGGGTGCCCAAACCAGATTTCGCGGAGTTGGATTAACGTATCGGCAGCTAGGTTCCAGTATGCGCTGAGCAAGCGGTGAAGCCCACCCTAGCTGATAGTTCCGACAGGCCCCTCGTGAGTCGGTGATGATATGTTTAGAAGAGGGATAGGTGAGAGCCAGAGCGATGGCAACCTCCTCCGCGTGTGTTGCGCTGTAGGCTTTGAAAGTGAGCCCGTTTACGGTGTTTGCGTTGTGTATGACTGCGGCAGTATACCACCCCCCATGGTGCGGGCCAGCAACGTCCACGTAGCACACGTGTTCCTCTTGACCAAAGTGTCGCTGCAACGCTTCCGCGCGCGCCTGGCGGCGACCACTGTGGTTTTCTTTGGACATGTTGCGGGGAAGGGGTCGGACCCGGAGGGCGCGTCTCCAAGGTTCTGGCACTCTCACCCTTTCCTCAATATAGTAATCGTGTTTGATGTGTATTCGGTCCAAGAGGCGGCGACCGGAATGGGTCTGTGCAAGGCGCGTGTATTGGTTAACGAGGTGGGCTTCTCGAAGTTCTCGGTAGGTATTCACCACGCCTAGGGCCAGAAGTCTCTGGTTGGACGTGGTGATAGGGAGGTCGAGAGCCCGCTTGATAACTTTACGGTGGATGACCTCGAGTTGATCATCCTCGTGTTTGCGTAGGTGCAAGTAGGGAGTCGAGTAGAGTATTCTACTCGTTACGAAAGCATGGGCAAGCCGCATTGCATCCCTGCTTCGTAATCCGCCCCGCTTGTTGGAGACCCGGCGGACCATACGGCCCACCTGGTCTCCCACCGTGCGAAGTTTGGCTATTGTGGTGTCGGCCTTGCGTTGGTGGTGTATGAAGAGGCCAAGGACGCGGATCTCCTTGGCCTCACGGATCGGTCCCGAGGGAAGACTGATATGGAGCTGAGTTGTGTCCTGAGGGGAGGGACGTACGTGCACAAATTCTGACTTAGCCGGGGCACACTGGAGTCCGCAGTAGGTTGCGTAGTCGTCGACTACAGTCGCTGCTGCTTGCAGGCATGACTCCATGTGACCCAGGTTACCTTGCGTGGCCCAGATCGTGATATCATCCGCGTAAAGAGCGTGATGTATCCCTGGTAAAGAAGCCAATTTGGGGGGAAGATGAAGCATGGCTATATTAAATAGGAGGGGAGAGAGGACCGCGCCTTGAGGAGTTCCCCTCGAGCCGATGACGTAAGGCCCATGTTCCTCATCTTGTATGCGTATGTAGGCTCGACGGTCTGTAAGAAACTGTCTAACATAATTGAATGTTTTATAACCACAGTTGGTCTGACTGAGGTGGTCAAGGATTACCTCATGCTTCACGTTGTCGAATGCCCCTTTAAGATCCAAGGCCAGGACTACCTTGTCATTGTGGGGGCATTCAACAGGATCTAATATGTCATGGTGGAGCTGTAGAAGTATATCCTGGGCTGACTTCTGAGGGCGGAATCCAAACATGGTGTCCGCAAAAGTGTGCTGTGTTTCTAGAAACTCGGAGAGTCTGTCGCGCACCATCGTTTCCATCAGCTTGCCGACACAAGACGTGAGGGAGATGGGGCGAAGGTTCTCCACGTCAATAGGTTTACCTGCCTTCGGGATGAAGGTCACGAGAGCTGATTTCCATTCAAGAGGGAGAGGAGTTTCTCCGTCCCAAATGCTATTGATGTATTTGAGGAGCGTGGCGTAGGCTGCGTCGGGAAGATTGGCCAACAGTTTGACCGTAATCTGGTCACGCCCTGGTGCAGTGCCACGCTTCATCTTGCGTAAGGC